TCACCTGCAACTGTAGTCTAATGGTAGGGGGCTGGGTTAGGCAGGTCCCAACCACAAGACACTTTGATAATTGAGCACAAAGGTTTCTCTGTTAAATCATGGCTAATAGAAGAGCAGCTCTGAAAGGTTTTAAGTGAGTTAAAGTAACCAGAAGAGAGGTTAGCATGACATAGGGAGTATGTATGTAGAAATTACTCCAACGGGGTTTGAGTGTGGCTGACCTGGGGAGTTATTTAATGTCTGGTCTTCGGCTGCATTAAACCTTTTCCACTTGTGCACATGTGACTCCTTTTCTCCTGGGGACAGGGAGACACACACACACACACACACACACACACACACACACGGGATACACAGGCTGAAGAAATGTCTTAGTGCGTAAAAACCGTTTCTGCCAACTGTGTTGGATCCCCAACCCATTTGGTGGTGGGAACCGGTTCTCAAACCTTGTCTTCTGGCATCCATATGCATGTGTGGACACACCAAAATAAAAAAAAATGCAGGTATGGTAGTGCATGCTTGTGGTGCCCCCACTAGAGAGACAGGATCAGGAATGAGAGGTTGTCTGTCTCAAGCCAGAATTAAGCCCACGTGACTGACCAAGATGGGGCTCTCCATGGTGAAGATGAGCCCATCTGAGGGATTTGTGGAGGGTGAGTGGGCAGACGGAGAAATCTGAAAGCCGGGAGAGTCGAGAGGGAGGATAATGGATTCCGTTTTCTCAGCAAGTGGATGTGGGATGTCCGGATGGGTGTGTTTCCTCAGCAGTTGTCTGTGACCCTGAAGCTCAAGGTGAAGCGCAGGCCTGGAGGAGGTGTGGAGGCCTTGGAGCCAGAACGGTGAGAGTTGATGAGATCATCCAGGGAAAGTCAAGTGGGAAGGACTTCAAGCCATGTAAGGGAATTTTGATGCAACCAAGAGGCAGAGACTGGCTTGGAGACTGTAAAAACATTCTGTGTAAGAGCCAGGTGTGCCGTAATTCCAGTGCTGGGGAGGCAGAAAGATGGAGGACTCTATACGTCCCCCCCTTTCCTCCCCAACTTGCTTTTGGTCATGATGTTTTATCACCAAAATTGTAGTCCTAAGACAAGGCCACTACAGCAGCAGCCAGAAAAAAGAAAGAAAAGGAAGCAAAAGGAATGCCTCAGCAGTGACCACACTCTGCTTTTCATTTAGCTTTCGGTATAACCACAGTCAAATATCAAGCTAAGTTACAGGGAGGAGAAGAAAATTAACATTTACTCAGGACAGATACGTGGGGAAGGCAAGACGTTGGAATGTTGAGAGTCAGGACTCTGGAGCTAGAGTACTTCAGAACTACTAAACCAAACATCAGTACACCTCGGGAGCATGTTTTAGGTGGGTGGAAGAGAGTAAACATTGGATAGAAATTCCAAAGCCCAAGTTCCTTTTGTTGACAACTAACATGACTAGCTTGCTGGTTGGTTTTTATCAACCTGACACAAACCTAGACATAATCTAGAAAGAGGAAATCCTAATTGAGAAATGGCCTCCATCAGATTGGCCTGCGGTCGTCCAGTCTGTGAAGTTTTGTTCTTATTAATGTGGGAGGCCCGGCTCACTGTGGGTGGCCCTGCCTGGGTTGTTTAAGAAAGCAGGCTGAGCACACTGTGAGAAACAAGCCAGTAAGCAGCGCTCCTCCATGGCTGGACTTCAGTTTCTGCCTTGAGTTCCTGCCCTGACTTCCCTGAGGCTTGTAAGATAAAATAAACCCTTTCCTTCCTAAACTGCTTTTGCTCATGGTATTATATCACAGTAGAAACCCTAAGACAGCTAGTTGTCCATCTGTAGTAACAGTGGGGCTGCAGATAGGAAACTGTCCCCTATACAGTCCTCCCTTCGCACACCAGTTTCAAGTCTCGGTGTTCCAGGGACCATGCTATGGTTGGATGGTCAGAACTCAGAGCTGTGGTTCTCCCTGCGGGGGGAATCCAAGGGGGTTCCTGACACAGCTTCAGTTGTCTGGCCCAATGAAGTCGTGGATAGTGTCAGCTCCTATTAGCAGTAATGTGTCACAGTATGCAGAATACTTCCAGTCAGGGAAACTAGGGCTTTGTTTTGTAGGTATACTCAACTCTCCACATGTCTGACCTTGGTGTCCAGCCCTGTTTAAACAGATGTCGTACGAACAAAAATTTCCCACCATAACTCATAATTAGATCATCCGGTGTGACCTAAGACAGTAAATACTGGGCGGGACATTGCAGAACCAAGGGCAAAGGTTACATATACCTCCCTCTCAACAGTCTTGAATTGTTTAACACACAAGGACATTTATTTATTTTTTTTTAACTTAGGCGGTGCCTATCTCTTAGGGCAATTGTAGAGATACAATAAAACATTAGATCAAAGAGTTGCCATGGGCAGGTGAGATCACTCAGTGGGTAAAGAGCACTTGCAGTGCAGACCTGACAACCTGACCTTGATCCTAGATCCCACAGTGGAAGGAGAGAGAGGGTTTCTGAAAGTTGGCGTGCCACACACTCCTGCACTTTCAGACACATCGTAATCATTATCACGTCATAATTGGAGCTGAAGAAGTGACTCGGGTTAGAGCACTGACTGCTCTTCAGAGAACCCGAGTTTGATTGCCAGCACCCACATGGTAGCTCACAACCATATGTAACTCCTGTTCCAGGGGGATCTGGCGCCCTCTTTGGGCCTCCATGGGGCACTGCACCCATGTGGTGCACCAATTACGTCAGGAAAAACACTCAGACGCATACTTTTTTAAAATAATAATATTTATAAAAGTTTTCCTGAGGGTCTGGAGAGACGGCTTATTGGCTTAGTGGCACTGGCTACTCTTCCAGAGAACCCGAGTTCAATTTCCAGCACTACGTAGAGATGTTCGTCAGTCTGTAACTCAAATCCCAGAGAACCCAGCGCCATCTTCTGGCCTCCGTGGGCACTGCACACATATGTACAGACTACATGAAGGCAAACACTACGTATAACAATAATAAAACCTTTTTTGAAAAGTGGCCTGATATTGGTGAGATTTCCAAGTTATGTATAGCTAGTTATTCATGGCTTAGATTTGAACTTGTAACTCAGACCTGATAGTATTGTGTCTTATGTGCAGTTGAGCATTGTCTGGTACTGGTGATGCATTCTGAGAATCCCTGTTAGGCAGTTTCCTTTCTCTGCAAACACCATAGAGTTTACTCACACAGAGCCATGTAGAATAGCTTGCTGAAGATCAGGACTGTACGGTATATACCAGTGTATACGCTGTCTGTCAAATTCACCAAAGCGTTGCCATGCAGGTATTACATTGCTTAAAATGCAGCTAGAGCATGCACCTTGCCTATAATCCCAGCACTCAAGAGACAGAGGTGGGAGGACCTGGAGTTTACGGTCATCCTTGGCTGCATGGTGAATTCAGTACCAACCTGAGTTAATGAGACCCTGTTCTTTTTAAAAATGGGAACTATCATTGTGTTTGACGGTTTAATTGCTGATGGCTGCCACCTGTAGAGGGTTGGAGGGTAACACCAAAGCCATTTGTGGAAGCTTAGGAATGATTGGGAAGATGATGATGTGGGAACAGTTGACTCTTAACCGATGTTGAGAATTGTCAAATGTGGGGAATGCCGGGATTGCTCGGAAGCCTGCAAGAGGAAGTTGGGTCTGGATGATGCATTTTAAAGATGAGCACCATATCTGTCTATCCTTGTACAGTATTTACTTAGTTCACAACATGCATTGTAATAGTAGGTTTTGATGGTGAAAAATTGGGGTTCTGAAAGGTGATTTCATCCATAGTAAAGTGGAGATAATAAAAGTACCGATCGAGCTGGAGAGATGGCTCAGCGGTTAAGAGCACTGACTGCTCTTCCAGAGGTCCTGAGTTCAATTCCCGGCAACCACATGGTGGCTCACAACCACCTTGAATGAGATCCGGTACCCTCTGCTGGCTTGCAGACAAAAGGCTGTATGCACAATAAATAAAAAGAAAAAACTGTATGCATAGTAAATAAATAAATTTAAAAAATAAGTAAAAGCACCGATCACATTTTGTTGTTGTGAGGGATAAATGGGAAAATTGAACCCAGCGAGGGTAAGAAGTTTGTGTGAGGGCAACCTATGCCTTTAAAAAAAAGTGCTAGGTACATAGTAATCAGCCTCTGTTGTTATATATATATGTTTTTTAATGATTTATTTTTATTTTATATGCATTGGTGTTTTTACTGCCTGCATGTCTGTGTGAAGGTGTCAGATTCCCTGGAACTGGAGTAACAGACAGTTGTGAGCTGCCATGTGGGTGCTGGGAATTGAACTCAGATCCTCTGGAAGAGCAGCCAGTGCTCTTAACCACTGAACCATCTCACCAGCCCCTATTATATATGTTTCTATAAACTCCAATGGATAAAAATTCATGTTGGGAGCTGGGTAGTAGTGGAATATAACTTTAATCCCAGTACTTGGGAGACGGAGGCAGGTGGATCTCAAGGTTGGAGGACAGCCAAGGCTTTGAAAAACAAACAAAAGTTAGTCTTGGGGCTGGAGAAATGGCTCGCTGGTTAGGAGCACACATTGCTCCTGTAGAAGAACCAAGTCTGGTTCCTGAACTCACATGGGAGCTTTTTCAGTTGCCTGTAACTGTAACTCCAAGGGCCCAACACCCTTCTTTGACCTCCGTGGGCACCTGTACTGGTGTGCACATACCTACACAGACATGAACACATATGCACATAATTTTAAAATAAAAGCTAAATCTTCCAAAGAAATTAGTCTTGCTAGGCAGTGGTAGTACACGCCTTTAATCCCAGCACTTGGGGGGCAGAGGCAGGCGGATCTCTGTGAGTTCAAGGCCAGCCTGGTCTACAGAGCCAGTTCTGGGACAGCCTCCAAAGTCACAGAGAAACCCTGTCTCGAAGAGGAAAAAAAAGATATTTTTATTAACTAAGTAGGGGGGGTGTGTATGTGCTTTTTTTGCCTTATGTATTATGTATTGTCTTTTCTTTTCATTCCAGATTTAAACCGCCACCATGTCGAGCAAAAAGGCCAAGACCAAGACCACCAAGAAGCGCCCTCAGCGCGCAACATCCAATGTGTTCGCCATGTTTGACCAGTCGCAGATCCAGGAGTTCAAAGAGGCCTTCAACATGATCGACCAGAACCGGGATGGCTTCATCGACAAGGAGGACTTGCATGACATGCTCGCTTCTCTAGGTAGCCTGATGTGCATTTTCTCGGAATGTCTCTGAATCATTGGTTTCGTGATTCAGTTCTCATCCCAAACAGCCTTTGAGAAACTTTCAGGTGTGGGAGGGGCCTTTTCAGGCCTGGGGCTGGCGTGCGGGGTGGGGGTGGGGGGACCAGCTGCAGTTTGTTAGCTAAGTTACTGTGTCTGTGTGAGCCTGAAGGGTGTGTGTCTGTCTGTGTGAGCCTGAGGGGGTGTGTGTGGGTGTGTGTGGGTGTGTGTGTGTCACATTAGTATACTGTGGGTAATATCCTGTGGCTGGAAGACCAGTCATGAACAAATGAACAAAGAGGGTGACACTTCATAACTAATAGTGGTTGCCTGTGAAAGAAGGGCAGTATTACTCAAAAATGGACCCCCAGAAAAGAAACTTCCACAATAACACTTTTTATAATTAAAAAAGAAAGATTGCTTCCCCCCCAAAAAAAACCATAGATGAGGCGGCTCAGCTGGTGAAGGTGCACCCTGCCAAGCCCGGTGACTTCGATGTGAGCCCCTGGCTCCTGGACGTTGTCCTTTGTCCCCGACGTGTGCTCTACAGCACTGGTATACACACATGCACATGTGTACCATCAACACACACACACACACACACACACACACACACACACACACACACACGTGCACGCGCATATACACATACTTTCAGAATTTTCAGACAAGGTTTCTCTGTGAAGCTGTCCTGACACTCACTCTGTAACCCAGACCTGCCTCTTGCTTCCCTAGCACTAGAATTAAAGGTGTACACCGCCACTGCCACTGCCACCCGGCTACACCCATTTATTTTGAAAGATCCATTTTAGATTTCACTCTGAGAACTCTCTTGAATCCCTGCCTTCTACCCCCAGAATGCTGCAGGAAAGTTGGGTCTGACCTGCAAACGGGGAAGCAGGTTCTTATTTCTGCTTGCTCACTGACTGCTGAGGTGCCAGTGCGCTGATGAGGTGAGGTGAAATAGCCACCCGTGCGTTACGTAAATCTCACCCAGGTTCTAGATGGGGCTGTCGTCAGCGTAGCGTGGTACAATTCTGAGGCGCTTCCGTAGGTCTGAAGATCCAGCCAACACATTGCTTTCACGTGTACCTGCTCCTTCAACGTTAGCCAGTCCTTTTCACGGGTTAAGATTAAGGGAGGCTGTGTGGACCGGACGGCACTAAACTCGGTGTCTGGAGCACTGGGTGTGAGTTCCTCCTTCTCCGGGCCTCGTAACCACTTGGTGAACTGGTTTCCTGTGGGGAGCTGTGTGGATGCCCCCCTCACTGTCAGGCAGTTCCCCAGCCCCTGTCCTAAGAGTTGTTTTCAGTAGGATCTGAGGTCAGGATTCTCTTTACAAACAAGACGAGTGATCACCCCGTTCAAGTCTGGCGTGATGGCTCAGTTGTCAGCTAGCGGGAGGATGAGAATCTGAGGCCAACCTGGGCTATAGAGTGAAACGTGCCTCCCCCAACGCCCCCCCCCAAACAAAAGCAAAGCAAAAGACTCCGGTCAGCAGCATGTAGACATAGCACTTGGAGCTGACGATGTTTTAATATTGTTGGAAAGAAGTTCCCAGTCTCAAACTGACTTAATAGTTAACAAATAATTTTTAAGCGTACCAATTCACATGTGACTGTATCATAGTTAGAAATATTAATGTTGATTTTTTTTAATAGCTGGTATTAAAATAACCTCTGATGAACCAGTGTAGAATCAACAACATGTGATAGCGTGGTGTTTCGACTTTGGGGTTTTGTTTATTTGGTTGGTTGGGGTTTTTTTGTTGTTGGGTTGGGTTTTTGGGGGGTTTTTTTTGGTTTTTTTGTTGTTGTTGTTGTTGGTTTTGGTTTTTAACTAAACGTGGTGAAGAAGCTGGCATGATGGCTCAGCACGGGAAGGTGCTTATGACTTAAGGGTTTGATCCGTGGACCACTTGTGGAAAGAGAGAACTGCCTCCTAAAAGTTGTCCTCATCCTCCACACATGTGATACGGTGCACACACACAAAATAATGCAATGAAAACCTTTTTAAAGTATGTTTGGTAGCAGAACAATAGCCAGATGATCCAAGATAAGTGAGTTTTGTCCTTTGTCCCGGCTACCGTCTCGCCAGCAAGAACGACGCGGCACACTTAGGATCCTTCTGCAGAACAGCTTTAATGCGTCTTGAGAGGGAGAGCATAAGCTTACAGAGCGGAGACCCGGGGAACGAAAAGCCCAACCCTTATATAGCTCAGCAGTCCCCGCCTCGGACGTGTCATCTCCTGACTGGCTCCTGCTCGTCAGCCCATATGACGCCACGGGAGAGGCAGAGAGTAAGGGATGGAAAAGTAGCAGGCACGTGCACACCAAGGTTGTTTACTCCAACTGACAACGGGTGTCAGCGCCATCTTGTAACGGAGAATGTGGGGGCGGCTCCCCACAGTCCTTTGTTTGAATGTGGTTTCTTACAGGCAAGAATCCCACCGATGCCTACCTGGATGCCATGATGAACGAGGCCCCAGGCCCCATCAACTTCACCATGTTCCTCACCATGTTTGGAGAGAAGCTGAATGGCACAGATCCCGAGGATGTCATCAGAAACGCCTTCGCTTGCTTTGATGAGGAAGCCACTGGTAAATGCTGCTTTCGTGTTTGTGTCCAGTCTCGTTTTAGGGTACATGAAGCACTTTTTTTTTCTTTTTTTTTTTTTTCCGTTTAGTTTTTTGAGACAGGTTTCTCTGTATTGCTTTGGAGGCTGTCCTGGAACTTGCTCTGTAGACTAGACCAGGCTGGCCTTAAAATCACAGAGATCCGCCTGCCTCTACCTTCCTAGGGCTGGGATGAAAGGCATAAAAGCACATTTTAGGACATGTTTTTTACATGCAAAACATTTTTTTTTAATTAAAAAGAAAACCCTGTTGTTTTAAAATGGACAATAGACCAGAAATGGCCTTGCCACACAGCCTTTCAAAGACCCTGATTTCCCTCAGTGGCACAGCTCATAACATGAGCAGCATTTGAGGTGTTTGTTCTGTGTCTCTGGGGTTACCTCGGGGTTTCGCTCTGTTTTGTCTTCGTTTTCCTGCCCCTTTGGAGCAGCAGGCTTTAACGTGAAGGCCTTTCAAGCTTCACCTTCCTTTTCTTGTGCTTGGCCTCACACTTCACCTGGAATCCTCACCCCCCCCCCACTCCTCCCTGGCACACTGTGATCGTCTCCCTGAGCCATTGGTCTGGGTGACGTTGCCTTTTATTCTGAGCAGCCACCACTTAATTTTTATTTGACATTGTATTTCTATACTATGGTTTTTTAAAAGGATTTATTTTTCTTTTTTATAAATGTTTCGTGCCCGTGCTCGCATGTGCGCATGCATGCTCGTGCATCTTGCCATCGGGGACCAGAAGAGGGCATAAGACGTTCCCTTGGAACTGAAGTTACATATGATTATGAGCTGCTGTGTGGAGTACTGGGAATCAAACCCTGGGTCCTCTGTCTGAAAGAGTGGCCTGTACTCTTAACCACTGAGCCATCTCTCTGTTTTGAGGCCTTTTTTTTTTTTAAAGATTTTATTTATTATGTATACAGCACTTCATGTATGCCTGCAGACCAGAAGAGGGCACGAAACCTCATTACAGATGGTTGTGAGCCACCATGTGGTTGCTGGGAATTGAACTCAGGTCCTCTGGAAGAGCAGCCAGTGCTCTTAACCTCTGAGCCATCTCCCCAGCCCAGTTTTGAAGCTTTTAAAGTAATTCAGTATTCCGCCGGGCATTGGTGGCGCACACCTTTAATCCCAGCACCCGGGAGGCAGAGGCAGGCGGATCTCTGTGAGTTCGAAACCAGCCTGGTCTACCAAGTGAGTTCCAGGACAGCCTCCAAAGCCACAGAGAAACCCTGTCTCGAAAAACCAAAAAAAAAAAAAAAAAAAAAAAAAAGTAATTCAGTATTCCTAAAACACCCCCGAAGCAGTGGTGCAGTTGCATGTGCCCTGGCTGTAGTGTGTGGTCGGTGGTGACCCTGCTGGAACTAAGGCTGGTTTCACTTAGAACCCTGCCACGGAATATTCAGTATTCACCGAGTCCGCCCTTTGTTGCCCTCCAGGCACCATCCAGGAGGATTACCTGAGGGAGCTGCTCACAACCATGGGCGATCGGTTCACAGACGAGGAAGTGGATGAGCTGTACAGGGAGGCCCCCATCGACAAAAAGGGGAACTTCAACTACATCGAGTTCACGCGCATCCTCAAGCACGGAGCCAAAGACAAAGACGACTGAAGCGCCGCAGGGGAAGTCCGCGCCGTGCTACCTTACTTCGTCTCTCAGACACTTCTCCCACTCCGTAGGACTCCTGCATGCCGCTTAGTTTCACAGCTTTGCCTCTTTCTAAATGTATTTATTCCAGACCTTTCCGTCACTCAGCACATGTATAATCAGACTGGAAATGGGGACAATGTTGTAAATGGTATTGAAAACGAGATGCGAATAAAAATCAGCTAATGTGAAAGCCCAGGAAAATATATCCGTATTTCTGGTTTTGCTGGATTTTTTTTTTTACATTTTTATATAATAAAAATGTTATTTTGAAATAAAGATGACGCTGAGTTAAATGGAGTATAAAACAAATGAGTGATAGTTTGGGGTAGTCCTTTCTTCAACTTTATAATTTTCACATCCCTGGGACAGTGTTCTTCAGGTTTTTGGTTTTTAGTTTTTGGTTTTTCGAGACAGGGTTTCTCTGTATTGCTTTGGAGGCTGTCCTGGAACTCACTCTGTAGACCAGGCTGGCCTCCAACTCACAGAGATCCACCTGCCTCTGCCTCCTGAGTGCTGGGACTAAAGGCGTGTGCCACCAACGCCTGGTAAGAACTTTTAAATACACTTTAGCATCTTTAAAAGCTAGTTACACCCTTGATCTTTATTTCTTCTAGGGAGATGTCTGTTAAATGCTAAGTGTAGCGTGTTGTCTAGAAAAAAACAGATATTTCATTGATCTAATGTAAGCACGTGCATAGCTTTGGAGAAATGTTTGCTCTGAGCAGTACTGCACCTCCATGGTTCTCACAACATCTTCACAGTTTGGTGAGAGAGGGTCTGTCACTAACTCTACTGGAAGTGGAGGTGGTTCATGGGGTGGAAACCAGGGACCTGAGCATGCTGTACCACAGAGTCACACCCCCAAGCATCTTGTCCTGCAGCTGGGGCTGCGTGAGGTCCAAACTCAGAGAAGCCCAGTGTGTCTGGCTCTTTGGTTAGAGTCCTAGTTCTGTCTTGCCAACTCCAGAGCTCACAGTACTGGGACCAAGGTCTACAGGAAGCAGAAGTGCCAACGCATTGCCCTCTCACTGAATTCAGAATCCAGTAGTAGAATTCAGTGGTCGTTGTTGAAATTTAAAACCATCTTGCAGTAAGGCAGGTGTTTGAAAACTTCTTGGAAGATTTATCCCAGGGAGAAAGCAGAAGACAATGGTGAACAAGCTACCCTGTGCTCAGAAACCTCGGTGACGGAAATCAGAGGATAAACATTAGAAGCAGCTATAGATATGCTAGAGACAGTTGCCGTGTAGACTTAGGGAAGGGGGGAAAGGCAGACTTAAAAGGAAGTGTGGTGACAGTGGCACCTGTTTTTCCTCCTAAACCCGGTGATCAAAGTCAGCATGTGCGCTGCTGGTTGCCTGTGTCTTGTAGCTTGGTTCGGCACTCTGCTCCCTCCTGCTGGCCTTTTAGCAGCTGAGCTCTTCTCTCGTCTTTAGAATGAGACAGTGTTCAGCTCAGGTGGGCAAGACACTGCCCTGCCGCCAGGTAAGCATTCACACCCTGCAGAAGGAGAAATCGCTACCGCTGCTCACTGATAGAGGTTGAGGAAAGGCAGCTCTCCCGTCGAGGACCGTGATGAATCCCAGAGTGTCCGAGAGAGGCTCCCGTTTTTTCCATCTAGAATCTCAGTCACTGGGAAGCGGCACAAAAACAGAAGGAATCGCCATGTAGGCAAAGCAAGGCAGAAGGAGGCACCAAGTCACTTACACGGCATGTGTTAGCCAGCAAGCTCTTGTGCGGCTGGCCAAAGGCCAAGACAGACAAAAGCCACTGCTCTGGTAAGACTCAGGATTCCAGGCAGAGACATGACCCATGACAGCTCATAGATACTGTGTGGTGGTGAACACTTCGTGACACAAATGTAGTCAGAAACAGTCCCTACGAGGTGTGGCCAAGCTGGGGTCTGCTTGACAAGAAGGGGTCCCTGTGCAAAGGCTGGGGTGAAACTGTATGCTCAGGAGACAGCTTCTCCCAAGGCACATTGGCAGTTGACAAGGACAACGTGGAGATGCTGTCACCTCAGGGATGTCACTGGTGTAGAATCTAGGTGGGGGAATCCCGACCCATCTGTAAGTTCATTTCATAATTCTGCTAGGGGAAAAAAAAATTGGAAGGACTGGTGTAGGGAACCAGCAGGTATTTTCAAAGTTTAAGACAAAGCAAAATCAATGTCCGATCAATAACCCTTGGTGTTGAGTCCAACGTCATCCTCTGAGAACCTTGTTGGTCCTATGGTCATTGGAGTGTGTGTGTATATAAACCTCCTAAATGGCATCGAGGAGCCTGAGGATCTAGCTTATCGGCAGAGTTCCTGCATAGGATTTATTCCTGAAGTCTCAGGTTCCATCTCCAACGCTGCATAAAGATACAAGAGTGTCAGCTCAGGCCTGAGATCCCAGCACTGGGAAGTGAAGGCAGGAGGATCAGAACTTCAAGGTCATCTTAGACAGTGTTTGAGGCCATCCTGGGCTACATGAGACCCTTGTCTCAATAAACACAATGTATTAAGCATTTTCAGATTGTTACAGAAAAGAATAAAACCTGCCTCTACGTGGAGTCGTGCCATCATCTCCTGTCTTTAAGAGTTAATCCACCTTGGGTAGTAGATCAGTATTTATCCCTGGCACACAAATGGACTTTGGGTGCCCATCCCACAATGAGAGATGTTCTCTCAGCCTGGACTCTTGGGGGAGGGCCTAGGCCCTGCTCTAGATGAAATGACAGACTCTGGAGATCCCCCATGGAGGGCCTCAACCTCCCTGCTGAAAGGAGTAGGGATTGGGGGAGGGGGAAGAGGGGTTGATGGGAGGGCATGGGAGGGGGGAGGGAGATGGAGAGGGACCTGGGATTGATATGTGAAGCAACCTTGTTTTTTCTTTCTTCTTCTTCTTCTTCTTCTTCTTCTTCTTCTTCTTCTTCTTCTTCTTCTTCTTCTTCTTCTTCTTCTTCTTCTTCTTCTTCTTCCTCTTCCTCTTCCTCTTCCTCTTCCTCTTGGGTTTCTCTGTGGCTTTGGAGGCTGTCCTGGAACTAACTCTTGTAGACCAGGCTAGTCTTGAACTCACAGAGATCTGCCTGCCTCTGCCTCCCAAGTGCTGGGATTAAAGGCATGCGGCGCAACCAACACCAGGCACAAACCTTGTTTGTAATTTAAATTTAAACATAAAGACATACAAACAAACAAAAAACCCACAAAACAGCAACAACAAAAAGAGTTAATCCAGCATGCTGGAGAGATGGTTAAGAACACTTGCTATTGTGGAGGAATGAGGGTCCCTGCACCCAGACCAGGCAGCTCACAACTCTGCCTGTAACTCCAACTTCAGGGGACCTAATACCCACTTTTGGCTTCTATGGGTCTACGTACACACAGACATACAAATAATTCTCAAGAGGAAAAGAGTTAACCCAGAGTCAGGCGTGATGCCAAAGGCCTTTGATTCCAGCACTCAGGAGGCTGATGCAGTTTAGATAACTTCAAATTCCAGTCCAGCCAGGTCTACACAGCCACTTCTGGGCAAGCCTGGGCTACATTGTGAGACCCTATCTCATACATACATACAAACAAACAATGGTTAATCCAACTGGGCAGGCCAAAATCGCTTGTCCAAGGATCCAACCCTCAGGAAGGCAGGTCCACCCTACACAATGCTAAGAGAAGAGAATAACCATCCCTTCAATGAGGCACTATACTTCTGTCCTGAACACCCCCTCCCTCTGCTGCCACTCGAGAGCTGTTGCAAGGCTCTGTGGGGTCTGCTCGCTTTTCTCAGTCCTGACTCTCAGAAACGCATAACCTTTTCTGTCTTCCTTTGGGATGCTGGCCAGGGTCTAAGTGTGCTTTCTCCCGGGGGCTTGGTGCTTCCTTACTGTTTCTCTCAAGCTCCCGTCTCTACCATGTGACTCATCTCCGGGCAGCCTTAACTCACATGCCACGGCTATGGCTTTCTCTTCCCTGTCCTCTTCCAGGCAGCTGCTGGGGTTTACAACGTGTTTCTCTTGTTGTTTTTTTTTTAATTCTAAACCCTAATCAAGTTGTCCTTAAGCTCCCTGCTATGAATCTGTTCCTAAATCATTTTATTAATGGAAATGGGAGCCCCAAGAAGGGACTGGGGCTTCTCTGCCATCGCTCTTGCACTAAGGAAGATAAACAACTCCCTCCCAGGGTGGCCCAGGAAAGTGACGATCAGAAATGACACCACTGGTTTGTTACCCTTGTCCAGAAGTTACAAGAGCCGTAATCACTGCATTCTGTCCTCAGAACTCCAGGACATGGGTAGTGTAGGCATTGTTATTTCATTTTATAGGTAAGGACACTGACTACAGAAGTTACCTGGTTTGCTCAATCTTACTCACTAAACAGAGTCTAGCTTCCAAGCTTCCTGGCCAAAACATTAAGCCTATAATTTCCTAATTAAATAATTGGTGCCCAAAGACTGGTTGATCAAGATACCTTCCAGTTACAAGGGAGTTAACCTCTACTCTTTAAAACTCAATACCATGAGCCACTGGGTGACTTACTTAGGATTTGTGTCGCCACGATGAAACACCATGGCCAAAAGCACCTTGGGGAGGGAAGGGTTTATTTCGCTCGCAGTTCCGTGTAACAGCTCATCGTCTAAAGCAGTGAGGGCTGGAACTCATGCAGGGCAGGGACCTGGAGACTGGAGCTGATGCAGAAGCCATGCTTACTGACTTGCTCACCATGGCTTGCTTATGGAACCCAAGACCGCCAGCCCAGGGATGGCACCACCCACAATAGGCTGGGCCCTCCCCCATTAATCACCAATTAAGAAAATGCTCAACAGCCAGATCTTATGGAGGCATTTTCTTAATTAAGATTCCCTCCTTTCAAGATCTCCCTAGTGTTGTGGGCTATTTGATCACACAGTGAAACTCCCACACCGTGTTAATAAAATTAACCTTGGACCAGGGGGCAGAGCCAGTGACTAGTTGACAGGAATTAGCCATAGAGAGGATGGAGGAGCCAGGAATATGGATACGGAGATGAACAGGAAGGAGCTGCGAGAGACTTCGAGATTCATGGTCTTTTTGGTTTGGGATGGATGGGGGAGACAGTCCCTTGCTGGATCTCCAGCAAAAAAAAAAAAAAAAAAGGAAGGCCAGCTGGTTGCTTCTTAGTTTCTGTGATCTAGGGGGGTTTTACCCCCAACATGTTACTCCCGAGTCTTTATCGGTAAACAGAACAACTTAGGTAAAACAAAACTCAAGCTTGCCACACTCTAGCTTGTATGTGTTAGTGTTCAGGCATCTGTACTGGCCTGTCCTTGGGGTTCTGACAGGATACACCCTCAGTTGCAGCCACTAAGAGCACCACCTGTGCACATTCACTAAGTTCCCTTTTAAAAGGACCCTGCCAACCTCCCATCCTTCTCTCTGTTTCTCTCCCTCCCTCTGTCTGTTTTCCTCTCTCTCTCTCTCTCTCTCTCTCTCTCTCTCTCTCTCTCTCTCTCTCTCTCTCTCTCTCTCTCTCTCTCTCTCTCTCTCTCTCTCTCCCTCTCCCCCCCTCTTACTTTTCTCCTTTCTCCTGCTGCTCCTGTCCCTGGGAGGCTGATCTCCTGTCCCGTCTGCTGCGCGGCCTGTGTCCGAGAACGTGCGGAGGGTGTCGGGGATTGACAACACAGAGACTCGTTCAACGATGTAAAGAAAACTTTAAGCAGGCTCCAAAAAGGTTCAAGAAAACTTCCTAAGAAAGGCTCCCACCAGAGAAGCTTCTGCTCTCTCCTCTATCCTGGCTGGTTCTGCTCTGACCCCAGAAACTGATCTGGGCGTGGCAGAAGAGGTGGTTAGTCTTTGGACAAGGTCGAGGTCGGGGTGGTTTCTGCGGGCAGGCCTTTTCCAGGAACTTAATGCCCCCAGGCATTGTATTGTTTTTAGTAAACATGTTTTTAGTAAACATTGTCTTACAGCTGCCTACTCCCAGGCAGAAGGGGAAGTGGGTCTCTGCTCAAGGTCTGGTGTTCCCACAATCTCCCTCTTCCCTTTCCCCTTTTTATGGTCCCTTTCCCTAATTAAAAACAACAACAACAGCAAAAACAAATCCTCTGCTTGAGCCCTGTCACATGGCATCTTTCTCTGGAGCACCGCTTTTCTTAAATTACAACAGTCTGAAGCTGACATGAAACTAGCCAGGACACTGGTCTAGGTTGACAATAGGAAAAGTGTAAAAACCTTTCTGCAGGTGTCGGTAATAGCCCCACAGGCCACTCAAGGTCAGGTGTTTGTCATCCAGTCTGAATAGGGGCTGAGGCTTGGGAGGGGGAGGACGGGTTCTGGGAGGCTGCAGGGAGGAAATCTGCGGCAGACAAACGCTATCTTGTTAAACAGATAAACTCTCCCAGGGAGCAGCTGCTGGAGGACTATTAGGTCACAGCCTGGGGCAGAAGCTGCTCCCAGGCTCAGCGTGGACCTTTGGCCTCTTTTCCTGGACTGGGCTCTTTCCTAGAATGCTCGTGAGGTGTCAGCATGCTTAAGTACTGCGTGGTGGGTATTCCTTGCCTTTCTGTGCTCTAACATAGTCAATGCGTATTTGACGGTCTAGACTGATGTCAGTATATGCTTCACAGGGGAGATGACTCGGCAGTTATGAGCACTTGTTGCTCTTGCAGAAGACCCAGCTTGGTTCCAGGACCGTGCCCAGGCTTATAACCTTGTGTGACTCCAGTTCCAGGGGATCCTGCTCCCCCTTCTGGCCTCCTTGGGCACCGGGTGAACAGACTAGCGTGCAGACAAAACACCCTTACTCGTAAGTAAAATAATACTAAATTTTTATTTAAAAAAAAAAACAAAAACGTTATGCCTTGCCACAGACTCACAATCCTTGAAATATGGACGTAGGAACTATCGAAAGACCTGTTGTGGAGAGATTCCACGAGAATGTAGCCTGGGAGACTGGCTTAGGATGTGAGAATTTATCACATCTTGCAGTTTTGGAGGAAGGGTTCTTGGGTTGAAAAAACGGTGACAATCAGAGATTACACACATCTCCTTTGTGCTTAGTCTAAAGTGGAGCTTTCTTTTAAAAAAAAAAAGTCAAATTCAATTGTTTAGCGGCAGTAACTGGAAGTGTCACTAGGTGGCACTATTGTTCCTGGTACTGTAGCGAACCAAGCCTTAAGGAACTTAAGAGTGCGGAGTGATGATGATGGCCGCTCTGCCTTTTAGAGCCTTGCTTGGTCCCGCTCGGAGTTCTTTAGAGAGGACGGGAAGTTCACGCATCCGTACATTCCAAATTTAGGCAGTGATTTCTGGGATTCGACTTTTACAGAAGCCCATGGAAAGTCCCTCCCTCCCTGCCTCTCCTTCCTTCCAGTCAGCCATCATTAATTCATGTATAAATATCTGTCCTCTGATCTTGCTCTCCCGAGTACCCGGGGCTTACAGACATCCCCTCACTCAGTTCCACTCCCTCGGTCACTGAGCATTTGAGCAGGACTCAATCATCATTATTGCTGCTATCGTCTCCATTTTAGAGAGGGGAAGACTAAGGCCGTTTGGCCTGCAGACATGCATAAAATGTACTAAGACAACACAAACAGCTTAGGAGACAGCTTTTTCCTATTGCTATTCCCCTCCCCTCCCCCCATCTCCTGGAAATCTCATCGGAACAATAGCAGGGAAATAAATGATCAACGAAGAAAAGACTGGACATGCTTGGCAAAAGGGGGCTAGAGATATTTTGTGGGTTGTGCATGGGTAGGTATGTTTAAATATGAAGGATCATTTTGACATATCTTCAGGAAGTTTCCCTAATCCCCCCTCCTGCTTCTGCTGTCTTGGGTTCTGGGGGTACAATGCTTTCCTTTCAGACCCCTCTTCCGAAGGAGCACGGCAAAGTCTGTTTCCTCCTGGACTTTGGTAGCTAGCACTGCAAAATCTGCCTGAATGAATGCTTTTCCTGCGTCCACTTTCTAATCGTCTCTGTGTAAACTGACTTTGGCTTACTTAAGAGACCGTGCTGACTATGCTCTCTCCGATTATCTTTTTCCACGTTTTGCTTGACGGTTCTCGTTTTTTGTGATAGTGAGGTGTTAAAGGCAATACAAAATCTGACCCTTCTCTCTGGAAATGGCTTAGCACCAGCATTTTAGGGCTGGGAGGTAGCTCAGTGGTGAAACATCTCGAGGCCCCTGGTTCAATCCCCCCACACACACTCACATACACACACTCATAAACACACTCATGCATGTGCACACACACTCATAACACTCACATATTGATACATGCACACTCATAGACACACTCACACATGTGCACACACACTCACACGCACACTCACACATACACTCAGACATGCACACACTCATACACATACTTATACACACTCATACGTGTGTATGCACAAACACTCATACACATACACTCTCAAGCACATACACTCATACATGCTCTCATGCACATACACATACATACATTCACACAAGCACCCTCTCTCACACATACACATACACACACTCATATGCACGCTCATACACATACTCACGCACATGCACGCACTCGTAGGCACGTGCGCTCACGTGCTCACACACACGCACACTCTACTTGTTTGTCTAGTACAGTGTCATAACTGCCAGGTCCCCTTGTTTGTCAGCGTGAAAGACAGCTGCTATTGAGCTACAGACGTGTAACACCCCAGGAGGCTGTCAAAGCTAGTTTCTAAAATCTGCTTGCTGGAGAATGAACACTTATTCCCTCCACAGCCCCATTGCTGGCCTTCATGCTGCTCAGTTACCTCAGCAACGCTAAGAAGGCAACCAGACATGTAACAAAGGCAGGCCATAGATCAAGTTTCCACCATAGACACGGTCTTTGAAATGTCTGTGACGTTCCTTGTCAACGGTGGGGCCTGTTTGCTCAAGGCATTTTGGGAGGACAAGCCCCACCTAACAGTCCAGTGCCCCCTACTCTCCCTTGGGATGACACAACCAGTTGTAGTAGAAGCATCTCCTACTCCAGGCTCTTCCTTGACCCCTGGGCTCTCCATCTTCTCAGTCTATCAGGAGATGGGACTGACCTGGCTACCCAACCCCAGAGCTGCTGCTGCTGAAATTGCCCTTGAGTTCTACACTTGAGTTGCAAAAAGAAAAAAAGTGTTTTCACACCCTTTGGGCCTATGCTAATTCTTTTTGTGTAGCTATAACCAGAGTTTCTGGGAGAACGACTCTAAGGAGAAAGGGCGTCTTTGGGGGTCACGGTTTCAGAGGGCTTGCTCTGCAGTTGCCTGGTCCTATACACTGGATAAGAACAGCGCAAGAAGGACGTTCACCGTGCGGTGGGTAGAAAGCCTTTGAGAGCCCTGAGAAGGGACTGGGAACCAAGCATCACCTTCAAATCCATGCCCCCGGTTGGCATACTTCCTCCAGCTACAAAATATCACATTCTAACGTTTCTAGAAACTTCCAAAATAGGCCACCACCAGCTGGGAGCCAAGCCCTCATCACAAGAGCCTGTGGGGGGGGGGGGCATTTACTATCTGAAAACCATGACAGAACCCAAACCCTGAATGTAAGAAAAGACAAGAATTTCTAAACACAGAGGCAAATGGGAAACAGTGCCTGCTTTTGTCTTCGTAAACAGAGCAATCTTAGAAAACCATTATGCCAGCCAATTTTAATCAGTGATTCCGAGAAACTCCTCCCAAACCCAAAAGGTTTGTTGTGTCTGACTCTCTCCCTTTCCCCATTTGTGTTAGTTCCTAACTAAAAGAGCGCTAGGGAGTTTTGTTTTGTTTTTTGCAACATACTTCTTAAACTGTACCATATTCGGATGATGCGTTCCGTTTTGTTTTGTTTTACCTTGCTCATGAGTCTGTTAAAAGTCAACGGGGTGGGGGGGGGTCTACAATCCCCTCTCTCCACAGAACATTAACCCAACAAGAACAGAAACTCCTTTCATCTCACGGGCTTGCCGACCGGAGCAGGCAAGGCGGACGCACTAGCTGTCTAGAAGTCCATGATGTCCTCTGCTGAGAGACAGAGAAGGAAGGGGAGGGAGGGAAGCAGACAGAGGAGGCAAAACCCCAAAAAAAAGAAGTCTAAGATGGGAAGAACAACAAATGGATCTGGGCCCTCGAGGCAGCAGGCTGGGGCCAGGGATGGATGGAGGGCATGTGGATGCAATCAGATTGTTGCAAAGAGGAAGCAGACCGAGCCGTTTGAAAGGAACCAACAATAAGCATTTCTAATACCCTCCACGGGTTATGAAGACTGGGAACGATAGCGTCCCTGCTGATCTCTTCGCTTAGATCTGTTCTCTTATCATATAGCTTCTGTCTTTACCTCTGCGTGTCCGTTACCTCCGCCGCTTTGCTTCTTGACTGGGACAGAATAGGGACAGACCACAGTTTTTTTTTTTTTTTTTTTTTTTGGTTTTTCGAGACAGGGTTTCTCTGTGGCTTTGGAGGCTGTCCTGGAACTCAGTCTTGTAGACCAGGCTGGCCTCGAACTCACAGAGATCCACCTGCCTCTGCCTCCCAAGTGCTGGGATTCAGACCACAGTTTTAAAACTCTTGGTGGCACAGTTCCCTTTGAAAAGATGCCATGGATTTAGAAAAGCCCCAACTTTCTTCACGGCTGGGCTGAACCGGAGGGGTGTGTGTAACAAAATGGATTTATCTCCTGATGGGTGACAAGAGGCGGCGTGCTTCGGGGATGTGGGGGCTGGCGGATGATGGCCGGGTGGACTAGGCCAGCAGACCAAGGCCATCTTCCCTCCTTTGGGCGACCTTGTGCTACCAAGGTCAGAAATGATACAATATATGGAAACCTGTGGCCACATGTTAAAACAGAGTCCAGTTAGAGTCCAGATGACACCGGAGTTACTACTGATGTACTATGAATGCTCTCTCTCTCTCTCCCTCCCTCCCTCTCCCTCTCTCTCCCCCTCCTCCCTCTGTGTGTGTGTGTGTGTGTGTGTGTGTGTGTGTGTGTGTATGTACCATAGCATAGCATGTGGAGGGCAGAGGGCAACTTGTGGGAATAAATTTTCTTCTACTATATGGGTCCAGCGGATCCAGCTCAGGTCATCAGATTTTTCAATGTAAAGTTTTGCAAGTTGTGCTTGCATTTCTCATGTAAAACACAAAAGATAAATTCCATAACCCACCCTACCCAAACAACATTTTTTCATAAGACCAGGTCAATTTGAAAGATGTTCTCTAGAGAAGTTCAACCCTTTCCATTAAGCAGTGAAATTGCACGCATCACCTCCGTTTGAGGGAAGGAAACACAGTAAGTCTATGCATTATGTTTAAGGGTGGACGTACGTGTGTGTTGTGTGTGTGTATGTGTGTGTGTGCATGCGCGCGCCAAATGGTTCTGCAACTCCTGTGCTGCATGGTTTTGGAACCCCTGATGGCAAATCCATGGAAAACACAGCAAGAATCTGGGGCCTGAACGCCACCTTCCTAACCCTGTCGTTGGGAAGCTCATGAGCTTGGTTGGGAAGATGTGGACTAAGGTTGGAGTGGCAGAGTTGGAAATAAACGAGCTGCACGACCTGAGATCTGCCTCTGTTCACCCCCAGGCAGCCAGAGCAAAGGGGAAAGGGGTCTGTTTAAGCTCACGATTCCAGGCTGCAGTTTGTTACGGCAGGAACTTGAAGAAGCTAATCACATGGTATCCACGGTCAACAGCAGAGAACAGTAAACTCATAGATGCTTAGTGCTTGGGTTAGCCCTCACTACTCATTCAGTCCAGGACCCCGAAGCAGAGATGCTGCCTCCCATTTCCAGGCTGGTCCTTGTCG